TTATGAAAACACATAAAGTCATAACTCATACCATCTACAGAAGTTCATTCAGAAATGGTTAATATTTTTAACTTTCATAGGTATTTTATTGTTTTTAATAATAGGTACCATGTATTTTATATTTTATACTTCTTAATTACACATTGACATACATGTTTACTGATAGGTAATTGCCTATATTTGATCTTAGTTATTATTTTATACAATGTACCATTCAAATTATTTACAAACTATTAAATAATAATTTAAATTATTAGAAAATTACAAAATAATACCTACCTATTTGATAATAATATAATTATTAACTAAGTATCTTAACATAACGTGATATTATGTTGACGTAAATATCTATATTTGAAATAAATATGACTTGACCCTACTATACCTACTTATTGTCAGTAGATTACAGTTATAAACAAATGTCACTTATGTGATACACGGTGTACGTTTTCCAACGTATTCAATTTTCATTTTTATGCATTTAAGTTGCTATACACAATACACTACGCGACAGATGTAATTCGCAGAGTTTTCATACACGACGAAAACGCCGACGAGCCGTTGTTTAGGTGAACAAATGCCTAAGTAATAAAAACGTCAACTCCAAATTTTACAATTTTATAATTTGGGATGGGCTATACCAATGACAAAAAACAATACTTTTATACTTTATCCCATAATTTTCATATGAAACATAACGGACATAATATGGGGGATGTACAAATATCGGATAGCAATATAAAAAGTATTAACAGCCGATAGATGAATCATATTTAAATAAAATTATCATGACCAGACGGGAATTCAATAATATATATTATGTTATTGTTATATTTTTGGTAAATGTATTAGGGTGGAGTCGCCACCTATGGCCACGTTAAGCATTTTTTTTTGTGAATATATTATACTAATTATAGTTATAATCATGGAAAAATCCTGAAATTCAAACCAAGTATACTTTATAACATGACTTATACTTGGTTAAAGTTTCAAGTCTCTGTAAGTTATAGTTAGGAAGAATTTTCAATTCAATTTTTAATTTCTCATTTTCCCCTATTATGGCCAGATCAACTCCGACTATGGTCAGTGATTTTCCCCACTTATGGCCATAATATTTTTTTAAATTTATTTATTTAAAAAAAAAAATGATATAAGTACCAAATGTAGTAACTAATAATATATATTAGCAAAATATTAAATACAGAAAACTATGAGCGAAACACAAACAGTTTATTATGATTTAAAATATAATAATAACAAAAACAACCTATTTAACAAAATACAGTTCATATAAAAATGTAAAAAAAAATAATAATAACAGACTTATTTAATAAAAACTGATCCCTGCTTAGGATATATAACACTAGCTAGGTTATAATAAAAAATAAGTAGGTAAAACTTAATGAAACATTGTAATAAAAATTAAAGTACCTAGGTAGATAACTTTCTGGTAATAATTAAATCACATTTGTTGATTTTTGATAATAGGTTAGAATGTAGGAAAATATATTATAACAGTTTTATTATATAAAAATAGATCCCTGCCTAGGATATAACATAACAAAAACCTAGTTAGGTTATAATAAAAATAAGTAAAACATAATGAAGCATTGTAATAAAAATTAAAGTAAATAACTTTCTGGTAATAATTAAATAGGTATGATGTACTTCGTTCAGTTGTGCTTAAATGTCTTAACATTTTATTTGGAAACTAAGTAGTAACAAATGAACCACCACATAATATAATTATATTTAAACCTACCATCTCAAATTCTACATTTATAAAAATAATATGGTACTCAATGGAAGATTTTCCATAATTTCCATAATGCACTTGATTTTATATTTTCAATCTACCATAAAATATGATTATGAGCATGTGACAAAATACTACAAAACCATTTTAGTAGAGTAGAAATTTTATTTTACAAAAACTTATTACATTTTTCGTAGTGTTTAAACTATAAGATGTATATATTGTAATGCATTTAATAAAAATAAGTAAATATTTAAATGTTAATCTACATAAATTATAAAACTGAAACTAATTCAAAATATAAAATTGATTTCATAGTGTGAATGAAATATTATAACCAGAATACGGTGATTACCTACTATTACTGAGTCATGAAGTCAATAACAATATAGTTTTTATCAATGATGCAATGCACAATAAGAATGTTATCGCTCCAAGACACTTGTTGACACAAAACAAACGACAACAGTTGCCGACCTACGTAGTTATGAAAACACATAAGTCATAACTCATACCATCTAAGAATTCATTCAGAAATAGTTAATATTTTAACTTTCATAGGTATTTTATTGTTTTTAATAATAGGTCCATGTGATTTTATATTTTATACTTCTTAATTACATTGACATGCATGTTTACTGAAGGTAATTGCCTATATTTGATCTTAGTTATTATTTTATACAATACCATTCAAATTGTTACAAACTATTAAATAACTAAATTATTAGAAATTACAAATACACCTACCTATTTGATAATAATATAATTATTAACTAAGTATCTTAACATAACGTGATATTATGTTAGTAAATATCTATATTTGAAATAAATATGACTGACCTACTATACCTACTTATTGTCAGTATTAGATTGATATATAAACAAATGTCACTTATAGTGATACACGGTGTACGTTTTCCAACGTATTCAATTTTCATTTTATGCATTTAAGTTGCTACTACCAATACACTACGCGTGAATGTAATTCGCAGGTTTCATACGACGAAACGCCGACGAGCCTGTGTTTAGTGAACAAATGCCTAAGTAATAAAAACGTCAACTCCAATTTACAATTTTATAATTTGTATTAGGTACTTCAATGACAAAAACAATGCTTTATACTTTATCCATAATTTTCATATGAAACATAACGGACATAATATGGGGATGTACAAATATCGGATAGCAATATAAAAGTATTAACAGCCGATAGATGAATCATATTTAAATAAAATTATCATGACCAGACGGAATTCAAATATATATTATGTTATTGTTATATTTTTGAGTAAATGTATTATTAACAACTTTATAAAACCCTATAAACCTTACATTTAAATAGAAATATGACTTTATTATTGTTTTCAAATTTTACGATTTAAAGCAGAAACACTGAATTACAATTATCAGAAATGTATGATTATATCTATCAACATTATTTTGAAATATTAAACATGGGTGAGCTTGGTTCAACAAATATACAATGTAGCCAGTTTTGGTCAGATATTAGGTTTGTTATTATACAGTAAACACAAAAAGTATTATAAACGAGGAAATTAAGACAAAGACTTTTGTTACAAATTGATCGGTTTTGCTTTATATATAAAATATCGACATACAACTACAAGAACGATCAAGTATAAGCTTAAACAAATTCACGAACTGTATAACGACCTCATTGATATAACAGAAAATACAGGTTTATAACCAAAATAGTTTTTCCTTACAAGATTGACTAGAACTTCATCGTGAGTTCGTTTTGGACAGAACAAACGATGGATGTCATGCCCTTTCATATGTAATAATCACAATATTATGTCGACGTAATACGAGTTGTGAGACTATGCGATATAGCATATATAATACAGCGACGTCGAAAAAATAAACGGGCTACTATAATATACTACTATAATTTATATTACACACAATTGAGCAAGCACGGAAAAATTTGTCGAAGAAGGTTCTTAAAGGGTACGTGCCACTACTTTCTTCACGATACATCATAATTTACATCTTGTTCAAAAAGTATCCGTTAACAATTCCAAGATTCTTTTCAAATTTGGTTTAGACAAAGAAACATATTATCAGTTATTATATTATATTATAAATGCTTAAACAGTACCGAATATATAATGCGACAATTTGAAAGTCGAATAAAAATAAATTAGTCAACTCGAGTTAAAGAAAAGCTCAAATGTCCAAAACAACGCCTTCGTATTTTTTTTAAAAACAAATTTGATAAACCTTAGAATTAAAAATGTGGATGGACGACATTGTGAACGTAGGGACAAATGAAGACAATAAAATGTGTGAATATAGCAGACATCTTTCAAAATGTTAAACGACAGTAATTACCCAGTACCTATATAATATTGCTATTATTTATAATAGGTAAGTAAGCGTATCGTGTGCATCACAAGTCGTACATGCATAATAGGTACGCGAATGTATTGATAAAAAAAAAATCACTAAAGAGAAGACGATAAAGATAAACAACCGCTTGTACACGGTTGTGTTATTATGTCGATAAGAAAATATGGAAAAACCTTACAATACGACTGGACGGGGTCGGAACTCATAGAAGAGCATCCCACGCGAGACAACGTGGATTCACCACAAACAAACCTGCGAAAAAATTACCTACGTATTATAACGAACATAATATAGGTCGTTGAAGTTTACTTCTTTCTCCACCTACCAAATAACACAACCTAACTAAGCACTCGTTTTAAATTATTTTCTCAGCCCCAATCGCCCCCTCACACACCACTCCCCAGGACAGGCGTATCAAGAAATATACTAATAGTAATAATAATAATATATCTTTTAAATAAGAAAACGACAGCGGTTCAGCGTGTCAGTCTATTGTCGTCGGAGTTATCCGACCGCGGCAACGGCAGCACATCGTTGGTTTCTCGGACAGACGGCAGGAGGGTGGGAAACGAACACCTGCTGCATCGGCGGCGGCAGATGTTTGGAGGGCAGAGGAATAACTTGTAATTATTATTGTTGCCAAGCTATGGCGTGGGAGGGCTGGGAAGCGATGCGGTGAGGGGAAGAACGAAAACACCTCCTCCCAAGATCGTCGAAGCACCGACAGAACAAAAGACTACGAGAGACGCACGCACGGAAACCGGTTGGCCGACGTCGCGAGTCGGCGCGCCAACGCGTAAGACAGTGTTGCAGGTTGCGGAAAGTAAAATCTCCTCGACATGTCGCGCGGCGGCGGCGGCGGTGGTCTTACCTGATGCTTCAGATGCTTGTTCCTGTTGCTGTCCCTCTGGCGACGATAAAACTGCAGTTATCAGGGCTGCGAGCAGGGCGATGAGGACCGGCACCGACGGCGACCTGCGGTCCTTCGGCCGCATCGCTGGACTAGCGAATACCGTGACTGCCGATTGGGACGGGCGACGGCAAATACCGCGGACGCCGAATTGACGAAAAAACGGCGGAAAACGATCGCGGTTGTTCGCGGCGAAATCCCGCCGACGCGGTCATGACACGAGTCACGCGGGCGGAAAAACGACAAAAACCGCCGAAAATTGATAAAAATTAAAAACAACCCGAAACGCATCGCCGGCGCTAGTCTTGTCGGATTATGATTATTTTCGGTTCGCAGACGACGCGACAAGACGCGCACAACGCGAAAACGCAACGCAGACGACGACACAGAAGTCACGTACGACGCTGAAATGCCGACGACGGACCTTCGTCGTACCGTCGACGACGTTTGCCGCTCGCCTTGATGGCGCGGGCGGCGGACGGTGCGCGTCGAAAGCCGATAAACCGACAGCCGACGGTCGGCGACCGGTGTCGGGAACGGCCGACGGATCACTCGTACGTGTGCCAGTGCCGAATGCCGTTATAAAATAATGATAAATAATAATATTGTCGTGGTTAGTAGTTTATATG